GATGGAGGTTTAGCCGAGTTACTTCTGTAGGTGTCTGAAAATCAAAATCATAAGCATTTAACTTCCCTGTAGGATGATTACAAACATTTAACTGTATCAAGATCTGAACAGCACTTTTCTTAGGATTACTTAAACATACAATTAAGATGGAGAATTTTCTACACACACGCATCAGAGACACTGTCCACTGTGTTAGCCTCAGTCTCAACCCAGTTACCAGATGTACTGTTGGTTTTCCCCACCATGGGCCGAGGGACATCCACACCTATAACAGACAATACATAAAATATGTGTATTACAAAATAGATTGATATCCACCTTAGTTTATCATAATTTTATATATACTTCTTAAAATCAAAAACTGCTACATATATTAATCTTACATTAAGGATAAATAACACAAACAAACTTTTTTCAGAAATCAGCATTATTTCTCATAGATTTACATTTAAATTGACAACCTGAATAATGATTACCAAGTAGAGTGGGAGAATTTTATAAGATTTTGTCATCAAGTTAAAAAATTGTGCAAAATTTTGTATGGAATTATATAGAAGGCAAAATTAAATCTCAACTCTAAGCACCAAGGAAAACCTACGACTTCTTTATATTTCAGGGATTTATTATTTATGTCATTACAAATCAAAATCAGTAAAAAAATATATATCAACCCGCACATCCATTTTTTGTTTGTGGTAAGTACCCTTAAATAACTGATGTATACTGAAACGCAAAAGAAACGCAACACCCTACTTTAGGGGGAAATAATTATGTAAAGTAAAGAATTTGTATCTTAAAATTATGGATATTTTCAATTTGGTAAATATCGGTAATTTAACGGTTGAACAATTTTCATACTATAACCGGAAGTCAAGTTTGAGTCTGCTTAAATAGAAAATTGCATGTTTAACAAAACACTTGACAATATTATGGAGTTAAAAGGGTTTGTACTGTTCATCTTAAGTAATGCAGCAATATTTCAAAAAATAAAATCTCCTTTCGTTTCCCGTAAAAATGTTAAGGCTTCTTGAAAATGGCTTAAGTACGCATTTCTATTGCTCTAGCTGGAAAATCTCAAAGTAAAGGTGATGGAGAGTTGATGATGCAAAAATACACTACATTATGCCTCAACCGGGTCTTGCATATTGTATGCATAAATGAAAGTCCTTGGACCGGAAATCCAAGGGTTACAACAATGCGCTAAGTTATAAAAATTCGACCTAATCATCTGAAAAACAGGCATTTAAAAATGGCACAGAATAATTCCTTCGCTTCGATCTCGATATTGATGAACCTATTGTATCATAGATATTAAGCTGCAATTGTTGTTTAGGGCAGTCTTGCACGTTGTAATTGAATGGCTGGGAGGGGAGTGTTTTAATAGTCATATGTTACTTTTAACTTAGTAAAGTTAAAAGATAAACATTTAACACTTTTATCAAATCTCTAATGTTCTAAAAAGTGAGTTTAGCCTTTAATACTGTATTCTTTTTTGAAAATCATTAGATAACAAGAGGCCCATGGACCTTATAGGTCACCTGAGTATTGTGTAACAACTTGCAAACAATTAAATTTGGTTAGTGTTTTAAACCAGAGGCCATGAAATTCACAATTCACAATTTTGAAAGAGGCACAATTGCTTATCATAATTATAAACTTAGCATGCTTACTCTATTTACTTAATACCCAGAGGTATATCAGAGTAACAAAGAGAAAATGCACTTCCACTTTATAACCAGTTGTGCAACTCACCCCAATTTCAAAATTTTGTAAAATTTATGGTCAATTAATACCAAAGAGCAGATTTCAAAGCATAAATTTATTTTCAGACTATGTAACCCCCCCCCCCCGACCAGGGGGGCATAGAAAATAACCAACCATTTTGCTAGAGATGAACCTTTCTTCATCATAAAGAACCTTATTCGGTAATAACCAATAATTGCCCCCCAAATCAAACTTTGATGGAGATATATTTCATTAAGTTCTTAAACAGGGGAGTATATGCTGACTTCAAAGCACTGAATATTTTCATAAGTAATGACGCCATATGTACGTAATGACGTCACAAACATGACGTAAATTTCAGTTTTTTATGAATTTTACAGAAAAATGTACATATTTCATCGATATTTTGAGTAAAAGTCACCGAGCGCATGTGTGTTCAGGATCAATATTTTGACATAATGTGTAGAATGATAATATCAATGAAATATGTCAATATTGTTCCTGAACAAACTTGCGCTCTATGAATTGTAAAGCTAAAATTGTTGAAATTTTGTTCATTTTGTCCTTTTTCTGAAAAAGGATATAAAATCGGACTAGTTTGTGACATAATAAAAATGAAAATTGTGAATACACTGCTTTGACACAATAATATTTTCTGTTAATTTATATTTCTCATACAATTTATTGAATTCCCAATAGAGCCCCGCCACACCAGAACCCCCTGATCCTGGGGCCATGAAATTCAAATTTTAGAAAAGGCACTCTTGCTCATCACAACTATGTACTTAGTTAGTTTATTTAAAACCTAGGAGCACAGAAAAAGATTTTCAAAGAATTAATGCATTTCCACTATATAATCAACAGAGCCCCACCCTAACACCAGAACCCCTGACCCTGGGACCCTGAAATTCACAATTTTAAAAGAGGCACTCTTGCTCATCATAACTATGTACTTAGTTAGTTTATTTAATACTCAGGAGCAGAGAAGAAGATTTTCAAAGAAATAATGCATTTTCACAATACAGATATAATCAATGGAGCCCTGCCCTAACACCAGAACCCTTGACCCTGGGGCCATAAAATTCACAATTTTGGTAGAGGCACTCTTGCTCATAACTATGTACTTAGTTTATTTGATACCCAGGAGTAGAGAAGAAGATTTTCAAAGAAATATTGCATTTTTACTATATAATCAATATAGCCCCACCCTAGCACTAGAACCCCTGACCCTGGGGCCATGAATTTCATAATTTTGGTAGAGGACTTAATGCTGATAACAATCATGCCCACAGTTTGACTGTTTGATGTCCAGGAGTAAAGAAGAAGATTTTTAAAGATTGTACTAACTTTAGTACCCCCCAGGCCTTTGGAGGGCAGGGACCATGAAATTCACAATTTTTGTTCCCCTTCATATATGCCAAATTGGTTGAAATTGGTTAATAAATCAAGTTCCACTGTTTAAATGACCTAGTTTTATACACATTTGTCAATAATTGTTTTGCTTAGTGTAGAAAAAGTATGTAACTTTTTTGTACACATCATTCATTATATCAATTCAGTTTCTTGTATAATTTGAAGCCCAGGGAATGAAAATCACTTCCCTGTAGGTGTCAATTCATTATAAGGTTGTTTGTTATAAACTTGTTTTACTGTATGGGTTTGTGAATTGATGGATGAAGAAATGATTAGTAGTCATAAATTAGAAATTTTTAATTTTTAATATGGTCAAGAATTGGTGGGACTCTTCATACCTCTTAAACAAAGAAAATTATACCCCCATAAATATAAGTAATTTAACAGATAGTTTTAATAGTTTTTGGACAACAACAAATTTCTGTCAATCTTTACCGTCATCGTCATTGTTTTTGACTTTTTCCACCTGTAGATTGGTTATCCTGGAGGCTGGGATTTTGAGGTAGGAAGTCAGTATCTGCATAATGTGTAACCTGAAACTGTTCTCCTGTCCAGCTACAATGGTGGCAAAGTTGTCATGGAGGGCAAACAAAATGTACACCTTGCCGGCGTAGGCGGGGATGCTGACAGAATTAAGGGGGTCGTGGAGTCAGGGACAGGGGGACTCTTAGCTGGAAGTAAATGTGAAGCTTCCCATGAAATAAAAAATCACAATAATTATTACACAAAAATTAAAAGCAAAACATATAGTTCTTCTTACATTTTTAGCTTGCATTATTCCCATAAATAAAAAAGTTCAACTTTAATATAATTAACTTTTTTTTTTTATTTAAATTTCAGTTACCACAAATTAATAATTTTACAACAATATTAATTGTTGCTGTATGAACTGATGATGTGTTAAATGAAACACTGGAAAGCATGACGCTCCTTATGTCCCATACAGGGGGTTACTAAAGAGTCTTAAATGGAAATAAAAATAGAATTCCAAAATTGAAATGGAAATCCTTAATTACTGATGCAAACTTTCAAAATATTGAATGAAAGACTGAAATAGCAGAGCAAGCATCTACAATATGTGCTTAAATGGGCCACAAAATAAACTTACTGGTGGTGGTTGACTTCACAGCTTTTGATATGACCACGTCTTGTGTATTCTGATCAATATTTGCCTCGGTGACAAACGTTATAAGTATCTCTGTTTTTGGGGTTGTTGTTGTTGTTGTTGTTTTCATTGTTGTCATTTCTGTTGTCACTGTTGTTTCTTCTTGTGTTGTTGTCTCAAGTAGAGTTGTTGATTCTATGACAACTGGACCCTCAAACACACTGAAAATATTTGTTGTACAAAATACACATATACATGAAATTTTTCATACAAAAAAATCTTAATTACTCATTTCAAAGCAGTTTTAAAACATGTAAATAAACAGATTGTTACATATAAATAAAACACTTTATAAACAGGAGATGTTTGCAAAACACTTATGCCCCCTTCCCCAAATAATTGGAATTTTTCTTCTAAGTCCAAGAGGCAAAACCCTGTCCCAAATTGCTCCTTTGTACCAAAAAGAGAGCTTGATCTACATATTCAAATGTTAAATCTGTATAAAAAATGTCATTTCATCAATGTTATCTCTGCAAAGAAAATGAATGGAAACTGCAAATAATTGGAATTTTATAAGTCCAAGGGGCATAACTCTGTCAAAAATGGCTTAATTGTATCCAAAACAGAACTTGACCTAGATATTCTTATGATAAATCTGTTTACCAAATTTCAATTCAGTATGTGCAACGGTTGTGAAGAAAATGAACAGAAACTTGGTGGACAGACAGACAAACAGACCCAATGACCGACAGACAGCAGCAAAGCAATATGCCCTCCCTTCTTCAAAGAGGGGCATAAAAAATGTTGTTCTTGAGGAAGAACTCTGCAATTGATTTGTAAAACAGACAGGACTTACCCAATAACCCCTAGGCTGTTACAAGTACAGTTCACATGGAATCCGTCAGCCATGAATTCTGGCGAGGAACTCACACAATCATCGTTGGTCCAATTGGATCCCAACCACATATTACACTGTAACATTAATACATGTACATTATCAGTATATACAGTGTATAACATCTTGTTTTAAGTGAGACAAAAGGTATGTTTCCTTTTTTATAAACTGTTTTATCTCATCATCAAACAAGGACAAAGTTGCTTCAAATGATCTTGTGGCATTTCATACAATAGGATAAATCAGTTTCAGTGGAAGAAATTGTATACAAGTATTACATTTGGCAGTGTATTTTTTTTAGTGCTTTTGGCAAAAAGAAATTTCCACTAATTCAATGCTAAATGTCTTGCACATGCATAACTTAGAATATTCAGAAATGTGCTATATCAAATATATGGTAACTTGTTCAAAAGTCAATTTTGCCACAATATTGTACATGGGGGTCATGATTTGAAAAAACTTGAATCTACACTACCTGAGGATGATTTTTACATGAGTTTCATCTTTCCTGTCTCAATGGTTCTTGAGAAGAAGATTTACCTGAGTTTCATCCTTCCTGGCCCAGTGGTTCTTTAAAGATTTTTCCTATATATTCCTATGTAAAACTTTTAACAGCCATTATGGCCCCACCCTAGCCCTGCGGGTCGTGATTTGAACAAACTTGAATCTACACTACCTGAAAATGATTCCACATGAGTTTCATCTTTCCTGGCCCAGCGGTTCTTGAGAAGAAGATTTTTTTTAAAATGCCATGAATTTTTCTCTAATTCATAATTATCTTCCCTTGGAAAAGGGATGGGCCCTTCATTTGAACAAACTTGAATCCCCTTTACCCAGGGATACTTTGTAGCAAGTTTGGTTGAAATTGGCCCAGTGGTTCTTGAGAAGAAGTTGAAAATGTGAAAAGTTTACAACGACGATGACAACAATGGCGACGGACAACGGACAAATTTTGATCAGAAAAGCTCACTTGAGCCTTTGGATCAGGTGAGCTAAAAAAGTGAGGTCAAGGTCAAAAAATGTTGATGCAGTTGCATAGCTCTCATCAATATCTATCAGCATATGAAGTTTGATGAAAATATCTCAGATAGTTTCTTTGAAACTTAGCTTTGAACAGAGCTAAACACAAAGTGTGACAAAGGACAGAAGGATGGACATGACAAACACTATATGCTCCGGCCATATTCATGGCGAGGCATAAAAACTGCTCAAAAAAACTTAACGTGAGGGTATCACATAACTTTGTTGAGGTACAATGTAAGCTAAAAATGTAAAACAGAATAATTACAAAATTACAAAGCCTATAACTTTTAAAAGTTTATTATTTGAAAGCACAGTTGGACAAAAATAAATGTATATAAAAAATTATATCATAAAAACAAAACAGATACTATATAAGTGGAAATTTTAGCGAGACACAAATTTAGAGATTTGTCCTTAAAATTGATATTTTATTTGATCAATACTATTAAGCAAAAAAAAAAACAAAAAAAACAAAAAAAAAAAACAAACAAACAAACAATAAAACAAACAAGAACCCTACTTACCCAACTTGAAAAATGTGGGTCATGGTACATCAAACAAAAAATATTTTTAATGATGGCCATACTTTGAAAACTAAGCATAAGATACATAAGAATGACTTAAAATTATACAACTTGCATGTAAATGTTTGCATATTCATAGAATTATTTTCAGTAAAATTTCTTCCAGAATGATCATGATGATTGCCCAGATGTAAATTTCACATTTCCAATTCCTGTCAGTGCTATTCTCAGACTGACTCAACCTTCAAGAATATCAATAAATCAGAGGCACTGATGCTTGATTTTCAATTTGCAAATTAAATGGCAATTGTTTTTTTTCAGAAAGTACACATGTACAATATGCATAAATTTTTACTTTTCTTTACATGAACATTTTAGTCATGATTTATTTCTGCAATTCTGCTTTCTGACAAGAAAGTTCTAAAATACACACATTCAACATTATTTATAAAAAGTGAGATAGTGTATTGTAAACCAACTATTATTCGTCATCTTTTACTGGCGATATGTCAGTTGAAATCAATGCTCAGTGATTAATTTATACGAATGAGGAAAAATTTGCTATAAATACGAAGCAAAATAAATGGTTCACAGCAATTAATATTTGCGAGTTAAAGTTGGTAGTGAAATGCACACCAATAAAAGTTGGTTTACAGTATCTCCCCTCCTTCTTCATTCTGCTTAATTTTAATACAATATTACACTGATGACAAATATTTAACAAAGAACTTTACTGGGTTAAGTGAAAAATTTCATTTCGTAAATGTAAAAGATCTGGTTTACTGAGAAGTGTATAAACTTTTGACATGCTTATACCACTTTCAAAGACAAATTTGTTTGGAAAAGATAAATTCTCCATACGATTTCTGAACTGATTATCATAAATAAACCCAGGAACTCCTTCTTGCAGCATAAGATACACTTTTGGTTCCTCATGATCGGAGAGAATAATTCCTGGGCTACCAGAAGCTCCATGTGTGGTAGATTTTGAGCAATGAAGCCAAACTTTTCCAGACTTAGAGAAGATAGACTTATAAGTGCTTTCAATTGTATTCACATCCATATCTGGAAATGCTTCCTTACAACCCTGTACAGCTGCACTGCTGGAACTTGCCAGTGTCTCCTTGGCAATCAAAGGACAACTTGGATCAAATATTTGCTCGTATCCTCGAGAATATGGATAACCAAGAACATGAACACATTCTGGTAGATTGCCGAATCTTGCTAAGGGGAATGGGTCTGGTAACTGAGTCCAGTTAACTTCCAGTATGGCAATGTCATCCGTTTTACTGTAGAATGGAATGTCTGTTCTCACTGGATAATTTTTACTTTGTGTACTCTCATTACCAAATACAACAGATATAAAGCCTTCTTGTAAAGTCTTAAATGCCTCATCTACAGGAAAAGAAAATGATTTCATTAACACGCAGATATTTCTTTTCAGTAGAATAAAATGCATCGATCATCACAGGATATACCTAACCCATCAAATTTTGTTCCATTATCATAAAAAGTTTAGAGTACAAAGAAGAAAATTATGTCTGAAAACCTTGATTCATACATTTCAATGATCTTTTCTAGTGTTTTCAAATGGGATGATTTTTAGAAACCGGCTACCAGTGTTTACTAATGCTAGCTTTTCCAATCGAGTACTTTAATTATGAAATTACAAATTCAAACACACACACAAAACTTCAAAGAATTTTCATTTTAGTTTAAAGAAAGTACGTTGTAACTGACACACGAAGCAGACAAATAGATATACTGTAGATCACTTAATTTTTGCGAAACCTTATTTTCGCGTGATAGTCATTGACTCTTTATAAGCGAGACAAAATTTTCACGAATTGTGGTCATTGCTTTATATGATCTTAGAGAATACTATTAAATGCGAGAATGAAATTTTCGCGAGCATATTTTCTCGCGTAATGACGCGAAAATAAAGTTCTTGCGAATAAATAGTGATTTACAGTAATACTGTACAGCAAAAAATTAACTCACAGAGTTAATATTCGCTATATTTGCGGAAAAAGAAATTTCGCGAATTCAACATACAGTGAATAATTCTTTAAAAGATTTATAATGATCAATTGAAATTTTACTGTTAACTGTGATTAGATTCTTTAAATCTAATTATGTTTATGTACAAACACAAAGGCAGTAATTAATATATATCTGAGATGTAGACTGTCTTTATAATTAAGAGGGAGTATGGATCAATTGCAAACACGTAGTTGATGTTTTTAAAGCTTATTAATTGTTTAAATTAATTTCTAATGCTATTAATTTTGCCATCTAGTAGACGTGCGACACAATTATTTCATAAAACATGCTTGTTTGATTTCACGCGTACGTATCACTCAGTCATTACATTTATAATCAAGGCATTTATGAAGTAAACAAGGTAGAGACAACTAATTAATTTCAATTATATGATTCAAAATTTTGACTTCGGTACAATTTTTTTTCGAATTTAGACTAAGAAAAAAAAATCCGCGTAACATTGTTTTGATTTCGAATCGGGATCAGTCCTGTGATTCGTTATTATTCAATAAGGCTCAAAATCAACACAATATATAGACTTGTCTTTCCTGTCTGATATGCGCGATATGCATGTACAGACTTTCGTAAGATAGAGAGAGGAAATATCAGTCTACACAATATTTACCTAAAGAAACATAGGTAATCAGAGATTACAGAGCTCACCTCAACGAATGTTGTCTTTAAGTAAGGCAAAGTCACACAATTAACCAACAAAAAGTGTACATTCCAAAAATGAAAATATTTAAGCAATTTTGATCTGATACTTTGAAATAGACCTACATAAACAATTTAAACTAGTTCTTCTTCATGAAAATGTAATCAAAATCCAGCATCTGAAGCAAATTTGAGAATTTTCATCTCTTGATGAAAACTTTGACCTGTTCACTAAACCACAAAATGTAGGTCAGATTCAGCCTCCGAAGCAAGCCCGGTAGTGTACATCCTTAGATGTATCATCCATGCAAGTTTGGTCAACATAGGGCTTATAGTTACTTGGAAATGAAACCTGCACCAAAAACTTTAACCTGTTCACTCAACCGCAACTGTGGGTCAGATTCAGCATCCGAAGCAAGCCCGGTAGTATGCATCCTTAGATGTATCATCCATGCAAATTTGGTCAACATAGGTCTCATAGTTACTTGGAAATGAAACCTACACCAAAAACTTTAACCTGTTCACTCAACCGGAAAATGTAGGTCAGATTCAGCATCCGAAGCAAGCCCGGTAGTATCCATCCTTAGATGTATCATCCATGCAAGTTTGGTCAACATAGGGCTTATAGTTACTTGGAAATGAGACCTGCACCAAAAACTTAAACCTGTTCACTCAACCGGAAAATGTAGGTCAGATTCAGCATCCGAAGCAAGCCCGGTAGTATGCATCCTTAGATGTATCATCCATGCAAGTTTGGTCAACATAGGGCTTACAGTTACTTGGAAATGAGACCTGCACCAAAAACTTAAACCTGTTCACTCAACCGGAAAATGTAGGTCAGATTCAGCATCCGTAGCTAGCCCGGTAGTATGCATCCTTAGATGTATCATCCATGCAAGTTTGGTCAACGTAGGGCTTATAGTTACTTGGAAATGAAACCTGCACCAAAAACTTTAACCTGTTCACTCAACCGGAAAATGTAGGTCAGATTCAGCATCCGAAGCAAGCCCGGTAGTATCCATCCTTAGATGTATCATCCATGCAAGTTTGGTCAACATAGGGATTATAGTTACTTGGAAATGAAACCTACACCAAAAACTGCACCAAAAATGTTAACCTGCTCCAAAAACATTAACCTGGTCATTCCTTTGCTGAAATTGCAGCATCTGAAACTTTGACTGGTACAAAGAAACACACTAGAACCATCTTCCATGCATGTCTAATCAATATAGGACATAGAGGTACTTAAAAAGAAAACTGCTCCAAAAAACTTAACTTTAACCTGGGACGCCGACGCCGACACCGACGCCGACGGTATTACATAAGCTCCCCCAACTTCGTTGAGGTGAGCTAAAAATGCTTGCAAGTATTTATAAAAAATGTCATATTTTTCCTTTCCGTGAATTTAAACGACCGCGATTTGCTGAAAATTGGAGAAATTGCGACCGCGATTTTAACCTGCTATACAGTAGTAAAATCATAGTGGTCAATCAGCAATTTTACTATGGCTTTCATTATGGTTTTTGTTTTAACCCCCGACATATGTCATGATTAAGGACAACAATTCTTTCTTTCAGAATATTTTTGTAATGTTAAAGCGATGTAGTAATCTGTAGTCACACCCGAACATGATAACTCCAATTCACATAAATAATATTTTAAGATTTCGAATAAGCTGTTCTTTTAAAATGATTGTACTTCCAATCTTTATATGTCTGTGGCAATATCTTGTTAAATTATTAGATGAGGTTTATACCTCGGGTCTTCAAATTTGTATAATTAATTAAGCTAGTACCAATTTATATATATAAACTGAGAAAAAAACTAATCAGAACATATCGATCCTATTTGTGAATTACTAGATCAAGAGTAGCAGTAAATAATATTAGGGTAATGTGTAAGTATACATTTACATTAGAACAACATAGCGAACATACCATTTATTTTCTAGGTATTTACTACGAATGTCAAATATATTTTATTCAAGTAACCGAATACTGCAAAACTCGGACAGTACAAACACGGATATTGCAAATTTCACAACGAAGTCATCTTGGATCCCCAGCTATATGAATTTAATGAATTTCTTATACGGTTTTAATGAATTACGGATATAGTAACGTAATTTCACAGGTCCAAGTGACTTTGTTATATCCGAGTTTTGCTGTAGCGGTTTTACTAATCGATACTTGCATCGTTCGACAGTTCAATTAACACTTAACCGGGTACTTGTTGACAACACAAATCTTTTACGACTCCTAATGCTTGATGTGCATTTTCTGTAGTGTAATTATTATATTTATCAGAACAAACATGACAAATAATACATAAAATATTTCTCAAATAGTTCAGGAGTTTGAATAATCATGATAATGCTAACCTGCAGCTTTGTTTATTGTCCCCCACTTTCGCGAAAGCGAGTGGACATTAAATCTCATTCGTCTGTCCGTCTATCCATCAGTCTGTCCGTCCATCACAAAAACTTTAACCTTGCCCATAACGTTTTATTTAGTGGAGCTATGACTTTCATATTTCACATGTGTATTCCACGAGACAAGACTTTTCATTGGATACCACCAAATTTGAAGTTTTGACCTTGGAGCTTGACCCACTTTTACATAAACTTTTTAAAAACTTTTTCTTTTGTCATAACTTTTGAACAGTCGATACTAGGACTTTCATATTTCACAAATGTACTTTTTGTGGCAAGACCTTTCATTCGATACCAACAACTTTGACCTATTGACCTTGACCTTTGAGATTTCCGTACTTAGAAAAAACTTTAATTTAACTTTAAAACTTTAATTTTGGCCATATCTTTAAACAGGAAGGGCTAGGGCTTTTATACTTCACATAGATAATCCTAGTGACAAGACCTTTTATTGCATATGAAGCATTTTGGCCGTTTGACCTTGGAGTTTGGCCTACTTTTTAAAAACTTTTACATTGGCCATAACTTTTAAACGGTGAGGACTAGGGCTTTCATACTTCATGTATGTAATCCATGAGACAAGGCCTTTCCTTGGATAAATAACAATTTGACCTTGACCTTGGAGTTTGACCTACTTTTAAAAACTTTAACCTTGGTCATATCTTTTGAAGGGTTTTCAAACTTCACATATTTAATCCTTGTGACAAGACCTTTCATTTGATTTCAAGCACTTTGACCCTTTGACCTTGACCTTTGAGTTTGGCCTACACTTTAAAAACTTTAACCTTGGCCATAATTTATGAATTATAAGGGCTAGGGTTTTCAGCCTTCACACATGTATTACTTGTGACAGGACCTTTCTAAAGAAACCAACAACATAGACCATTTGACTTTGCAGTTTGACCTACCTTTAAAAAAATATCTGTGGCCATAAATTTTGAACAGGTTGTGCTAGGGATTTTGTATTTCACAATAGTATTACTTGTAAGAGGACACCCTACTTTGGGTAATAATTTGTATTTGAGAAAAGTTTAATATTCGCTATGTTGCCATAAGTGTTTCACAAACACATCTTGTTCCGTATATTGAGAAGAGATATGGCTTTCATACTTTACATGTGCGTTACCAGTGAAAAGATATTTCCTAGCATGCTATGATTTTTGACCCCTTGACCTTCACGACTGACCTTATTTAAAAAAAAAAATCAACTTCAGTGATAAATTTTAAATGACATATGATAGGGCATTCATATTTGACACAATGTCATAAAAAATGAAATCTCTGTAACCAACAAAGACCCAGAAAGTGGGGGACCACAATTCTTTGAATTTGCTTGTTGTATTTTTTTTTTAGAAATGATAAACAATACTACAGCAGTACAGGCTGTGAAGAAAATGATGGTGGAGTGACCTACTGATAGACAACAGCAAAGCAATATGCTCTCCCTTCTTCAAAAAGGGGGCATAAAAATGATACACAATATCAAAATAGCTTTAATTACTTTACATCAAATTCATTTCATAGTCATAGCAACCTAATTTAATGTGGGACACACCTTTTACCAAAAGATGATTGTATCAGGGGACAAAGTTTGATCATTCTTGGGCTTAAATCTCCCGTCTTAACACAGGCATATTCTGTTTTTAAAATACTTTTTTTACCTTTGGCAAATGAGAAACCTGCAGTTCCAAGTGCTTCTAATAAAGAACTAAATTTCAAGCTGTCAGCAGACTTGTTCATCCAATTGTTGATCCCTTTTTCTATCTCTGTTTCAATGTCTGTTCCAACATCTTCTATCTCATTTGATTTTAAAGGTGAATCTAATGGAACAAAGATCTTTTAAGCTAATTTATATTTCAAACCAACCTGAAACTGAACAGAAAATTTGGGAACCATGACAACCCTAACTAGAACTGTCCAATAGGGACAAATACCCCCGCTGTGTTTTTTCAGAGTAGGTGCCAATTCACAAATATTTTATGGATCTATTAAGAGGTGTTCACTATTGTCTTAAAACAAATCGAGTGAAAATATAATTGTGGTGAAAATATAATTGCATGCTCATTACTTTTTTTCAATTTATGAATCTAAGGTGCAACCAAATAAAACATCAATACTAATACACTGTAACAGTTTTTTTTTTAATTTCATTAAAAAAAGAAATTGCAATTATTTGTCATGCTACTCTGAAAAATAATTGTTGAAAAAAGAAATATTATACAGAATCAAATTAATCTTTATAACTTTATATCAAATTCACTTTAAAAATAATAAAGTGCCCAACACAGCATGATACTCCAGTCAAATATTGTTCATTCAATTAATATAAACAGTTTAGAGTGTGGGGAAATCATGGCAACCTTTAAAAGGATTTCCATAATTTTTTTTTCCTTTTGATATTTGTTTAAACATCTCCTGTGGTATAAGCATTAATTGTAACAAATAATCATCAAATGGTTGCATTATAGCTTGACAAATGCTCCTCCCCCACAAACAAATACATATGCATATATCTTTCATGTGGGACATGATGCTCTGAAATTTGTTACTTGATATTTTAATTTTTTTTAATATATCAATTTAACTAATTAGTATTAAAAACTTAATCTATAACAAATTGATTTTAGAAATAGAAGGCTGGCCATCAAATGACATATGCTATTTAAACTGACCAGCAGTTCCTCTGTCTAATTCCCAAAGGACCTTAATCAGAGATAACAGCTAACAGAAATGATTGAGACAGCTAGCTTTCCTACATTGAACTCATTAATTAATCTTTGACTGGATGCATGTCCACTGATAAATGCCAAGGGATGCAATTTTCTGTTATCAAAATTCTCCTTGATCAGTGCTTGATAATTATACCCTTGGGAGAGGTAGATTATCTCTTATAAAATAACATTTGTTAAGGATTGCTGTAAAGTATATAATGAAAAAATATTATTTTCTTAATTTAACATTTTTTAAACAGGGATACAGAAACACTCTTACATTTTTGGGATTGTGTAATTCAATAGTAAAGGACAGGTTTCTTTTTAAAATTTCACTTAAATTAAAGGTCACGGTGACCTTAAAATAGGTTGTGACACACCTTCTACCCAAGATGCATAAACTGTCCAAGTTTGATGATTGTCAGTCTAATAGTTTTCTCGTTATGAGCCAGACAAAACCATAAAATAAAAAAGAAAAAACACCTGTAAAATGCAGAAAAATTACCCAATCATGATGAAAATACCAGGTGCACAACTTCATATGTTGAATAATAAGTGTACAAATTTTCAGACAAATCCATCCAATAGTTTCTGAGAAATGGTCCGGACAAAATCTTGTCTACAGACAGACAGACAGACGGACAGACAGACGGACATGCTGATTCCAATATACCCCCCTAAACTTTGTTTGCGGGGGTATAATTAAATCCCAATGAAATGCTTACTGCTGCCAGCTGGTATGTTGTCTTCCACTTCCTCGTGTGGCCGTTTGACGCCTCTGTTCTCACCAAGGACTTGTTTTGTACCTAGTAAAGAAAAGTTACAACAGTAAAACTTGTCTTATCAAATGTTAAGTACATTTAGTGTATTCAAAATCTTGTCTTCTATGAAGTAAACTTGTCTCTTTCAGTAATTCAATTATCTAATTTAAACTGTTGCCAAATCCGGTCAATTTTAATGAACAGAGCAGAGTCAGACTGAAACTGTAGGAGGTGCAGTATTTTGGGCTTTTATATCGTTGGTTCTGAGTTTACCTATTGAGCTTCTAGAAAATCTTTTTCAGTCATTCACTTTGTTTGCACCTACATGTATATGTAGGTACCCATGTTATTAGTTTCCCATTGAAAGCTATAAGTTTATCATGTAAATGATGTTTAAATATTAGTGCCATTCCTACAGCATATGATTAGAATATAATCATGTTTAAGGAAATGTTCAATTTTTTGAGCTGAGCTGATTGTTACCTGGCGTTTTGGATGACTTCTTTAAGCTTTCTTCATACCATTGTTTTAGCTCTTTGACTCGTGATTCTGAATCTTCTGGCATTTCACTTTCGAAGTACAACTTTTTGATATGAGCTGTCAAAATGGCTGAAATGGCAAAGTTAACAGAGTTCAAGGTATTGCTTGTCAAGGAATTTTTGTTAGTTGGTGTTGTCCTGGCAAATATTTGGCAGCAAATATGCAGAATCAAGACTTATGGCGTATTTATTATATTTTCAAAGATGAAATACAAGCTTTTTAAAATTTTTGTTTTGTTTTTACTTTTTGCCGTGTGCTTATGTAAATAATAAAAAAAATCTACATCACTTGTGAAATTGCTTCCATATCCAACCAAAAAACATAAAATATTCTCTATGCATACCTAGTGTTCTTCAAATTTTTAACTAGAACTGTCCAAACGGGACAAAATACCCCCCGCTGGGTTTTTCAGAAGTAAGTTTTTCCATTTTAAAGATATGTATCAAACATGAATTATGAAATTTTTCTTCCAGTGACCTTGAAGTTCCCCAAATGACCTTGGGTCAGGGTCATGACACACCCTTGGGTCATGGGCAATCTTTGTGTGAAATGACAACCTACCAAGTTTATCCATAAGAAAGATATCGACAGGACAAGAATTATGAGTTTTTTCTTCCAGTGACCTTGAACTTCCCCAAATGACCTTGGGTCAAGGTCATGACACACCCTTGGGTCATGGGCAATCTTTGTGTGAAATGACAACCTACCAAGTTTATCCATAAGAAAGATATGGACCGGACACAAATTATGAATTTTACTTCCAAATTCCAATGACCTTGAACTTCCCAAAATGACCTTGGGTCAAGGTCATGACACACCCTAGGGTCATGGGCTATCTTTGTGTGAAAAGAGAACCTACCAAGTGTATCCATAAGAAAGATATGGACCGGACACGAATTATGAAATTTTTCTTCCAGTGACCTTGAAGTTCCCCAAATGACCTTGGTCAAGGTCATGACACACCCTTAGGTCATGGCCCATGGGCAATCTTTGTGTGGAGTAGTAGATTCTAATGTCCCTCTGTAAGAAAGAAATGGACCGGACACGATTGCACAGACAGACAGATGGTCAGACAGACAAGGTGATTCCTATATACCCCCCCCCAAACTTCGTTTGTGGGGGGTATAATAAATAAAGGAAATTATACATGTAAGCAGACAATACCAAACATTCATTATTGATGATAATTCCTTCTTCAACATGTTCAAATGATTTTTTTTTTCTACAACTGTACAATGTAACGCCCATCTCAGATTGCCAAATCACCCCACCCCCCAAAAAACCACACTTTTCTTTTACAAGAGGCCCATGAGCCACATCACTCACCTGAGCACTGTGGCTAAGGGAGGGCACTATGATTTTAGCAAACTTGTATCTCCACTAACCAAGTATGCCTGCATATTTCCAGTGTTTGAAACTCAATATAAAAATAGCTAGACATGCAGGGCTGATTGCTAGTGAAAGTTGTCAGCCCTACCAAAAATGTACTAGCCCCCCCCCCCCCCAAAATAATTCTTTTATAAATTCGTTTTAGCAGTAGGGCAAACTGACCATGGTTCGGACAGACAAAAAAATTGACCTAGGTTCGGACAACTTTACCGTTATTTTTGTCAGTTAAATAAATCTGTTTTCAGCATAATACGGAAATTTTTCAATCTCAGCGATCAGATTTTCTATTTAGTCAAGACCCCGTGTATATCACGTGACTCGATACTTGGTGGTGGCGCTACGATTTTAGGGCATGTGTAGTTTGCTTTACGTCAGCAGTTTACGGGAAAAGTAAACAAACACTTGCAAGTAAAATCAAATGAATGAGGCTCGGCTTTATTAAACCAGTATGAATTATTTCTATTGCGTTTCTAAGTGATTAATCCTTCCTATTAGTCAAAAATTGTATAAGTTATTTTTTATATTTGTTGTGAAATCCTCCTCGAAGTCTGAAAAATAAATGTACCTGGGTTCGTACACCAAATGACCATGATTCGTACATTGCTCAAACCAAAGTTCAAGCTACTTAATTAAGGTCAAGATCTAGTAAATGAAAGGTGCCTACAGATTTATCAAATTTGAGAAATAAATTCCTTTATTGATGCTTTACAACTTTAGCTTGGCCAAATACACGTAAGGTGTTTTGGGGCATAATCTGTAGATAAACAAGATGAAAAACTGTATTTTAAACTGTCATTTTCAATGAAAAATTAAGAAAACCGGTCATGAATATGGGCGTTTTTTACATATTCGACAAATGGAATGTATCAAGATTGCCTACAGTCTCTCAGAAAACGATAATTAGTATGTTCATGCCCTCTTCTTTCAATCTTCTTTCAATCAATATCAATTAGTCTAAAGTTATTTACTAGATCTTGACCTAAAATCGCCTTTTAAAATTGGGAAAAAAATCGGAGAGTAAATGAATTACGTGATTGATATTCAAAGCATACGGATAATAATATTGTTTTTTAAAAAAATCACACTTCATATAAATATAAAAAAAATGTATACATTTTAAATGTACATACATGTACTATATTATTTTTAATCGGTCAAAATGAGGATGGGCTCCTCAAACGTATGATATTGTTATATGCATTTTGCAATTTTTTTGGTATAATAAAATTAATTAATTCATTTGATTGAGTAAAATGATGTTTAATAAATTGAAATTTAAATCAATTCATTAATCATAAATATTATTACAGAATTTCTAGCATTTAAAAGAAATTCCTATATAGCACCAAGAATTTTTGATTGGTTTAGAAATGAGCAAGTGCCGGTTACATCTTTCATTAATACATAGACTTCTTAATTGTAGACTTCTTTTACAATGAAATAAAAATCCCTAGTTTAGAGCAAAAATGGAAAACGTCAAAATAAAGGGTGTGTATGGTCTCGGTATATATGCACTCCATGTATTTGGATGCTAAATAACTAGTGTATTATTTGTTCAAAATATGAGCGCAATAATCAAAAAGACATGCATTGATGCTACTGCAGTTTATGAAGATCGTGCAGTGACATGCAGAGAAAAGATTTTATCTTCACCGTGCGTATTCGTCATTTATTTAGAACGAAAATTAACTGAGGGTGACAGAGGGTCCATGCTCTCATAAAGGCAACCTGCAAAAGGCAGTAGAAAGTTGAAGAACACACCTCGAACAAAAATAAATTGCAATTCAATTCGAAAAGTAATCATTTAAAACTCATTGCTTGCACTTTTAAAAAAACAGAAAACAGATATTTTTCATTTCTTTTATTATATGGAAACAGAAAACAAAAGGGATAAAAGTTAATTAGGTTATCCTTACAATGATCAGCTCTTAATGGTATGTCAGCATGTCATTAAACAAAATCCTTGGACCTAAGGTGTATATTCGAGGAGGGGGGGGGGGGGAGTTAACACTTTGTAAAACACGCTACCTTGTTACTGGAAATGTTATAGATCTATACCTATACGAATCCCTCTTAGTGCCTAATTAAATTAGGAGGAGACGATGCCAAGCCCAAGCTTTCCCTTGAA